AGATGTTAAATTTGTCCAAATTCTATGTATCTTGAGACGCAGTTGGACCCTGCGGCGACAACCGTGCTGAAATTTTGGAACTGAACAGATCATCCCAGTGAACATCCGTTTGTCCTCCAGACATGTCAGGTGGAAGACTTAATATGATTGGTACATGAATTTTTGACAAAACATGCATGAATTTGAGGGTGTGGGGTCAAATTTTCACAGAAACGCCATGCCGAAAGATCCAAGTCAAACCGCTGTGGAATGTTTGACAAGAGTGAGGAATGTGCTTTTTACTTTCTATCCAAAACCGGATGACGATCCCAGATACAGTAACTTTCATATTTCTCAAGGTGGCTCAACCACCAGATGATACTTGCTTTCCATTCTTGGAAAAGTCCGAACAGGAAGGCACCATTTGCTGGAATGACTATGTTGTGCGGATCTGTCGTGGACTACCTCGATGGGGTTGAGCAAGTAGCCACCTTTGTGCTTGGGGTGGCCGTCCAATGACTTAAACAGCTTTCTGATGGTTTCTCAAACTTGTGGACCGGGAACTTTCCCAAACAAGGTCAGATTGGAATATTTGGAGTGCATCGGGTTGTGATCCAGTTGATGTTTGCACAGCCAACTTAGTTCAACCACCCCATCCCAAAGTGCGCCAGAGCTGGGTGATTTTGCGCCCAGCTGGCAGCGATGCCGGCTGCTCTCATGGCGACCCCCGCTGAACCCCTCAAGTTGAAGGGTGGCACTTTCTTGCAAGTTTATTAAAAATCCTGTTCACTAGGCCCGAGTGTTAAAATGGGCCAAATGACACAGCCAACTGCTCTCTTTTTTGTGCCAAGCCTGCTCTTCACTCCAAGATGATTCCACTCGCTTGGACGAGATGGAGGTGATTGTGACACACACACGCGCAGCTTTCGTCTCAGAAGATTTTTCTGAGGATCAAAACAAGGAACCGAGGTTGGGGCGTGGATCATTTGCTTGGAGCTTTGGTGAAAATCGGTTGAGTCCAAACCATGCTGATTTGATGCCTATTGGTGATCAAGGATAGCAAATTTCAGCAGATCTACATTGACAGGAAAGGATCCAGCTTGCACACTTCAGAAGGTACCTTCTATAGTGATGATGCTGCAATCATGGTGTATTTTTGTCGCCAGACCTGATTGAAATGGGTGATGAGGGGCTGGTTAACTAGGACTATATTGTAGAGCTTCGCACACCGGCGATGCCATAAGGGTTACGTATAGTACTGTGAGCGTCGGTGTTGTGCATGTGCTCTGCGCGTGCGCGCAGGTGCAGAGCACAGCGTGATGTTCTTTTCATATCTCAGCTTGTAACCATCTTACCACATATTCCTTTGTCGCATTTTTGTCGCATTTTTGTGCTTGTTCTTCTTGTTCTTCTTGTTCTTCTTGTTGTTCTTCTTCTTCTTCTTCTTGCTGCTGCTGCTGCTGCTGCTGGTGTTGTTGTTGTTGTTGTTGTTGTTGTTCTTGCAACACGACGCATTTTCGCATTTTTGTGGACCCCTAAAAATTGTCGAATAGGCTGTTTTTTTCGCATGTTTTTGAAACCTTCGGAGCAAACAACACCGTAAATACCGATTTTTTTTTGCGCCTCGGAAGCCCCAAACCACAGTATTTACGATGCTTTTGCCTCTAGCAAAAATCACGGTATTTACAATGTTTTTGCGCCAGTGCCTAGCAAAAACACTGGTATTCACGCAGTTTTCACAATTTCCCGAGCCCGAGCGCAGCAATAACTCGTCAAAAAAGGGTTCAAAAACGGACCAAAATCGACTTCCAAAAGCATCTTATAATTTTAGCATATTTTTTTCCCGGCCCCGGACCCCCAAAAACGTGAAAACAACACCAGAGTGAACTATTTGGGGGGTTCGGTGGCAAGGGCTCGACCCCGGGTAGCTGAAGCTAACGAGTAGCTACACATCCGACACGGCGAGGCATCGCCGGATTTAAAGGCTTACGCCTGACAGCCGGGCGCCGGCCAAGCAATCTTGGCACCATGTTGGCCCTATGTTGGGCATATGTTGGTTTATGTTGGGCCTATGTTGGCCCATGTTGAGCCATCTTGGGAGCTTGTTGGGGCCATGTTTGGGCCATCTATGTTGAAACGATCTTAAGATGCCAATTTTTCCACCCCGGGCCCCCTCCTGGAGCCCAAAACCACGTAAAAACCAAGGTTTTGTAACATCGCCAAGATGAAATCCCTTGCCGCCGAAGGGCCCGAAACACCGTAAAGAACGTTGTTTTTGAACATCGCGCGCACAAAACACCGCAAATTACAGGGACTTCAGTCGACACGGAGTCCCCCCCGGGGTGAGTACGGGGTGGGTCGGCGGCAGGGGGCGCAGCGCCTGTAACTTTCGGTTACCACCGAAGGACACGGACTGCGTGGCCGGCGGCGCCTGCAAGACTCTTTCCCGAAGAAAACGAAGATCCCTGACTTCATGGTCTCTGAGTTGTACCTTCTTTGACCTTCGCAAAGACAAGTCGCCCAATGTCTTCACCGCCCCATTGGCCATACGACCAAAAGCAAAAGACTCAAACCAGTGCAGTCTGCCCCTAAGTGATTCTGCCTGTTTTGTAGTAACACTCGAGGACTGAAGTATATCATCCAGCACGGCACCAATCTCTTCACGTCTCTCACGGGTGTGTCCCAGTCGGGCCTCGCCCATGCAAAGGTCTCTCAGGTCTATTTCGACCCCCAAACTCTTGAACTGCTTCGAAAAACCCGAAGCTTTGCTCCCTTCACGGGCTACTTCTATACCAAGCAAGTCAAACAAATTGTCCACCGTCTTTGACGTGTTGCTCACCAACAAGTCTCGGCTGAAAATTGTATAGTCATCGAAGTATGCCTGCGCATATTCGCAAGTATTGCCCCACAACAAAGCAGCTAAGAGGACCGGCATGACCTCCAACTCATATATCGGATTCTTAGACCGAAGCAAAAACTGGTCCATTAAGTCACATGGGACCTCCCCACCAAAGAACTGTAGCAAGCTGCCATGAGGGCTGAAAAGCACGCCCCCCACACTGCCTTTCTTGGCTCCTTCGGGCCCTTCACAGGCTCCATCTGTGAACACTATCCAAGCAAGCAAGGATGTGGGGGTCAACTTCAAAGATGGCAGAGCGAAGCCACTGATTGACCGAAAGGTGGTTGGAGTTGTGTTTGCTGGAGTGGTTGCAATGGTTGCAGTGGTCACCTCACCCACAACTGCTGGATGTAGTGTGATGTACTGCAACTGTAGTTGTAGTTGTAGCGTAGTGGAGTTGTAGTTGTGGTGTAATGTAATTAGTGTAGTGTAGTTGCAGTCATATAGTTGTAGCTGTAGTTGTTTTGTAGTTGTAGTTGTTGTAGTTGTAGTAGTAGTTGTTGTAGTTGTAGCTGTAGTTGTTGTGTGGTTGTAGTTGTTGTGTAGTGTAGTTGTAGTTGTAGTAGTAGTAGTAGTAGTAGTAGTAGTTGTTGTTGTTGTTGTTGTATTTGTAGTTGTAGTTGTTGTTGTTGCTGTTGTTGTTGTTGCTGCTGTTGTTGTTGTAGTTGTAGTAGTAGTTGTTGTAGCTGTAGTTGTTGTGTAGTTGTTGTAGTTGTAGTTGTAGTTGTTGTGGTTGTTGTTGTTGTTGTTGCTGTTGCTGTTGCTGTTGTCGTGGAAGTTAGGGTAGTTAAGTTAGTGAAGTTAGTTAAGTTAGTCAAGTTAGTTAAGTTAATCAGTGTCTACTTTTTCGACATCTTCACGTCCAAAAAGGCTCAAAACCCTCAGTTTTTTACACTTTTGACTTCGAAATGTGCTTCGCGCCACAACGGCGTGCACTTTTCTGGAGGGGGATGTGAAAAATGGGAGATGAACAGGCTATGAATGTTGGATATGAATGAATATATTATTATATATTTTTATATTATGTATATGTATATATATATGGGAATGTTGAAAAACCCATTTCCATCAATATTTTTGTGGGATATGAGAATATGAAAATGCTGAATTTAGCTCCGTAACCAACAACAATTGGGTTAGGACATCGGCTATGTTTGGGATGAACTGAAAAACTTAGAAACACCACCTGGAGCTGTCCAAAATCACGGGGGTACATCGAAAATTAGACAGTTTTAGTACTGAAACCTATGGTTTCGTGGATCCCCCATTTTCAGAAACCCCCATATGGCTTAGTTTCTGGATGTTAAGTAGATGTGTGACATCACAAGTCCCACACTCGATTTGTTTGTTTGTTGCGCCATCTTCACTCGATCGTCGGATCCGTCAATACCATGTGCATTCGATTTGATTTGCGTGCTCATGGTCTAGTTTGGTGATTTTGTGTGTATCCCCGCTTTTTGAACTTTGCAGACAATCTGTCTGGCACTCCACAACTGACCCACTTGACTCAAGATCCACGATGCCATTTGTGACTGATCCATGTAGACACTTGCGATATCTGGATGAACTGGTGTATTAACCACTGAGTGTCCAGGAGAAGAAGAAAGCACTTGCGGACCCAGATGACTTCTTCGGTGAGATCTGACACAATCTGGCGCTGTGATTTGAGTGCCCCTAGTTTTGGCGCCCGGGGGAGTGAAGTTCAGAATCAGCGACATGGAAGCTATCTGCCAGCAAGTGACAATAGCCACACATGGGCTACAGGTCAGGAGTTGTTGCAATGGTTGTGAGAAACAAGTTTGTGGTTTGGTTTGAGACATTCAACTTAAACCATGCCATACATTTTGTGATAACGATGATGGACACAGAGTAATTACCCAATGATGTTCCACACAGTTGCGGACAAGAGATAGGATCTTGTAGCTTAAGGGACAATCCTTTCTGTATCATCCCCCAGCAGACCCGTAGCCTACCGGAATGGCAGTTTCGCCATACAGAGAAAGCTGCTGCTTCCCTGCAGCTCAATCCAACCCAATGGATGAGACTGCGAACATTGGAATCGTTGAAGGATCGACGTTGGTCAATCCAGCCGATGGGCTCTAGGAAGCGGTTTGTATCGTTCATGAGCCAGAGGTTTGAAGAGAGCACTCCTTCAAAGGAAGAAGAACCAGAAGAAGAGCAACAGAAGACAGCCGAGAAAACTTTGAACTATGAGTATGAAGATTCGACTATGAAACAACTGATTGATGAAGCATGCCGTTCGGAATGGAACAAGTACATTCGCTACTCTGCGGCTGTGCCTTTGGACAGTGAGCAAGCTGAGTTGTTGATCCGCGAGGGACACACCGTAATCCCAAATAGGTGGGTAGATGTAGACAAGATGTCACATAAATCTCATGAACCCGATTACGTACCAAAGATCAAGAGCAGATTGGTATCATGTGGTAATTATGAAGACCAAGGTTCACTGAGGACAGATGCGCCAACTAGCGACATTGAAACACACCACATTGTCGCTGCTTGGGCCGCAAGCCACGGCTTGACCTTGCACTCTGCCGACATCACCTCAGCCTATTTTCAAGCGACACCTCTCGACCGAGTGGTGATCATGCGACAGCCTAGGTCAGGACTACCAGACATGGATCCTTCGGTCATGTTGTTGGTCAGGGTTCCTGTTTATGGCTTGTGTGATAGTGGTCGGGGATTTTGCAAAGGTTAGATGGTGAGGCCAAAGGTGTAGGTTTTCGTGCATCGCAAATGTTCCCTGCTTTCTACTTCCTGAGAAAGCCCGTGGACGCAGAGACCGAAGCGCAGGTTGTGGCCGTGATGACCACGCATGTCGATGACCTGCTGTTTGCCTTTCTTCCAGAAGGAGAGGAATTCGTAGAGAAATTGTTGGGAAAGTTTGATATTGGAACTCGTGAATCGCGAGAATTTCGCTATTGCGGAAAATCCTTGGATCAAACCGAGACAGCATCAGCGTAGGTGATAACACCCGACGCATTCGTCCCATTCGCATCTCAGATGGAAGACCCAACGGTGAGGACGCAACCAAGAATGACTTGACCCAACTACGTTCAGTCGTAGGTAGCCTTTCGTGGGTAGCCCGACAGGGACGTCCGGATCTGTTGTATGTGGTATCTCGCCTTCAATCGGAAGTGAAGGGAGCAACCGTCCAAACACTGAGGGATGCCAACAAGGCCGTGCAAATGGCTCAGGCCGGTAGGGATGAAGTGTACGTCAATTTTCCACTCAAATTGATGGAGTGGAAGGATGTAAGAGTTTTGTCTGTCTCAGACGCCTCGTTCGCAAACGAACCAGGGTCGAAGTCCCAGCAAGGTAGATGTCAATTCCTGGCACCTATCCGACAGTTGAAGACTTTAGGTCAGACAGAGTTCGACGTTTATCCAATCTCATTTTCATCAACCACCATCAAAAGGGTTTGTCGTGCCACCTTGCAATGTGAAGCCTATGCGCTCCAAGGGTCAATGGAATCCGGAGACAGGATCCGAGCCCTTCTCTCAGAGATGAGCAACTGCGTTCCCGTAGGGATGAAGGATTGGGAGAGCATCAGTAGGCAACATTGTCCGCAACTGTGCATGTCAGATTGCATGAGCTTGGTCAACCACCTGAATGCACAGATCATGGCGCGTTGCCAAGACAAGAGGTTGGAGATTGAGATGAAATCCATCAGACAGTCCTCAGAGACGACCAAGACGTCGAGACCTATGAGAAGTATGAGAACGGAGGAGACAAACTGATATGGTTCCATATGTCGACAATGGTAGCCGATGCGCTAACCAAGAAGATGAAGCCAGATCTTCTCTTGAAGGTTCTACGCACCAACCGCTATAGCGTGGAACTTGTACAGAAAGAGAAGAAATGATCGGCTTCTGCATGTTTTTCAGCAAAGTGCGTTTCACACCTGAATAATAGGATCAGTGTGAGACGTAGCTCGTTTTTAGGGTAGGTTTGACCAGGTTGTGAAACGGACCACTGTAAAGTGTACATGTCATCATGTCTGTGGACCGGGCTCAAACTTAGGGCCCTTGAATTAAAGGCCGCAAAAGCTTTTCGTGCTTCCCCGGTGAGTCTAGCCAGTTTGATAATGATAATGACGAGGACGTTGATGATGATGATGATGATGATGGTGACGACGATGATGATGATGACGACGACTTTGAGGATGATTGCTGATGATGAAGATGAGGATGATGATGATGATGATCATAGTGATGAAGATGATGAAGATGATGATGATGATGACGACGACGATGATGGTGATGATAACGACAACGACGATGATGATGACAACGACGATGACGACGATGATGACAACGTTGACGACGACGACGATGATGATGATGATGACGACGATGATGATGATAATGACGGTGAGGATGATGTCAAGGACAACGATGATGATTGATGATGATGACGACAATGATGACGACGACAACGACGACGATGATGATGATGATCATGATGATGACGGCGATGATGATGATGATGATGACGACAATAATGATGGTGATGGTGACGACGGTGATGATGATGATTTTGATGATGATGATGTTAACCTCGGCGATGATGATTGATGATGAGGACAATGATGATGGTGACGGCGACGACGACGATGATGATGACGACGAAGACGTTGATGATGATGTTGATGATAACGATGACGATGATGATGACGACCGCGATAAAGACGATGTTCACGATGATGATGATGACGACGACGATGATGATGATGATGATGACGACGACGTTGATGATGATTGATGATGATGACGACGATGATTATGACGACGACGACTATGATGATGATAATGACGAGGATTGATGATGATGATGGTGGTGACAACGATGATGATGACGACGACGATGAAGATGATGATTGTTGATGATGACGACGACGACGATGATGATGATGACGACGATGATGATGGTGACGATGATGATGATGATGATGACAACAACGACGATGATGATTGCATGATGATGATGCCGACCATGATGATGATGAAGATGACGACGTCGATGATGACCACCATGATGACGACGACGACGACGATGATGATGATGATGATGATGACGTTGATGATGATGACGATGATGGTGACGATGATGATGATGATTTTTATTGTGATGATTGCGACGATGATGATGATGATGACGAAGACGACGACGATGATGATGATGATGATGATGACAGCGACGATGATGATAATGATGATGACGACGACGATGATGATGACGACGACGATGATGATGATGAGGGTGATGAGGGTGATGATGATGACTTTTTTTGCTTTGAAGATGTCATGCCAATGACGATGACGATGATGATGATGATCATGACGGTGATGATGATGTTTTCTTGGGTGACATGACGATAACAATGATGATGATGATGATGATGATGATGACAACGACGACGGCGATGACGACGATGAGGATGATGATAACGATGATGATGATGATGAGGATGATGATAACGATGACGATGATGATAACGATGATGTTGATGACGACGATGATGATGATGAGGCTGACGATGGCGATGAAGATGTTGTTCACGATGATGATGATGATGATGATGATGACTGCGACGATCATGATGATGACGACGTCGATGATGACGGTGACAATGATGATGATAATGTTCTTTCACCATGATGATGACGGTGACGATGATGATGATGATGGTGATGAAAGTGATGATGATGATGACGGGTCAGATGATTATTATTTTCGTTTTGTTACTTTGATGGTGCTGAGGATGAGGATGATGATGATGATGACGATGTTGATGATGATGACGGCGACGACGACGGTGATCATGATGACGACGACGATGATGATGGTGACGATGATGATGATGACGACGACGATGATGATGACGACTACGACGATGATGATGACGATGATGGTGACGATGATGATGATGACGATGACGACGTCGATGATGATGACGACTACGACGATGATGATGACGATGATGATGGTGACGATGATGATGATGACGATGACGACGACGATGATGATGACGGCGACGATGATGTTGATGACGATGACGATGATGATGATGATGATGGTAACGACGACGACGATGATGATGATGACTACGACGTTGATGATGACGGTCAGGATGTTGACGATGATGGTGATCGTGATTTTCCTTGTCATTACTTTGATGATGACATGATGATCAAGATGATGATGATGATGATGATGATGATGACGAGGACGATGATGATGATGATGATGATGATGAAGTTAACGATGATGATGATGACGACGTCGACCGTGATATGATGATGTCGATGATGAGTTTTCTTTTTAGTACTTTGATGATGACGTGATGATAAGGATGATGAGGTTGATGATGACGACAATGACGACGATGATGATGATGATGATGATGACGTGGATGATGATGACGATGATGACGCCGACCATGATGATGATAATGATGAGGATGATGATGGTGATGATGATAACGATGATGTTGACGATGATGATGATGACGACGACAATCATGATGATGTTAATGACGATGATGATCATGATGATGAAGGCGACGACGACGGGAATGATGATGATGATGATGATGATGATGAAGACGTCGACCATGATGATGATGACGACGTCGACCATTATGATGATGATGATGACGATGATGATGACGACGACAATGATGGTGTTGATGCCGACGACGACGACGACTACGACAACGACGATGATGATGAAAACGGTGATCATGATGATGACAATGATGATGATGGTGACGATGATGAAGATGATGATGATGATGAAGGTGATGATGATGATAATGATGATGATGATGACGGTGATGTTTTTTTTGTTTCTGTGATGTTAACATGGTGATGGCGAGGACGATGATGATGATGATGATGCTGATGATGATGATGATGATGAAGGTGATGGTGATGATGATGGTGATGATGTTGATGATGGTGATGATGATGATGAAGGTGATGATGATGGTGACGGTGATGGCGATGATGATGGTGATGAAGGTGATGATGATGATAATGGTGATGATGGTGATGATGATGATGATGACGGGTATGATGATGATGAAGGTGATGATGATGATGGTGATGATGGTGGTGATGATGATGATGGAGGTGATGATGAAGATGGTGATGATAGTGATGATGATGATGATGATGACTACGACGATGATGGGGACGATGATGATGGTAACAATGAGATGATGATGACGATGAGGACGACGATGATGAAGGTGATGATGATCGTGATGATGATGAAGGTGATGATTGTGATGCTGGTGATGTTGGTGATGATGATGATGATGGTGATGATGGTGATGATGATGATGATGATGAAGTTGATGACGATGGTGATGGTGATCATGGTGATGATGATGATGATGATGATGATGAAGGTGATGATGATGGTGATGATGATGATGATGGTGATGATGAAGGTGATGAGAAAGATGATGATGGAAACAAACGGGATGCCCAGGAAATGCCTGCCGAGTGGATCCCTTTCTGGCGCTCCTTGCCACATGCTGTCCCGCAAGGCAGGACCGGGCCAAGAGTTCTGCGGGTTGTATTTTTGAGGACCTTCAATTTCAGACCAAGCAATTGTATTTTAAATGTGTGAGATGAAACTTAGATGTGTAATTCACGCTCATCAGGTACATACCTGTTACATAGGAGAAATGAAATACAATTGCCTGAGGTCCACCCCTCATTAATGGGCCGCTGCCGCATCCGCCAGTCTAATCACTGATCATTTTTGGGCTGCGCAACACATCACGCATACCTCTCTTAACCCCGACGCCCCGTGATTTGGACAGGGGCAAGGCTTGGCAGCAAAACTGGGAAGTAGAGGCTTGGCTGCAGGTCATTGTCTATCGTGACCAAGGAATACCAATGATATGAATGTTGAGTGATTGTTGCGAATGATAATTTGTGAGGGTTCTGAGGTAACTAGATGTGGAGATTCATGATAAGCTGCTTGGAAGCTTCAAACATGGTCATTTTCCATGATACATTGGATAATAATCCAACTTGATTATATTTTGGGGATGGCTAAAACCATCCACCACATAAGCCATCGTTTGGTTGCCCACCCCAAAAGAGGCCAAGCATTTGACGCCCGCACCACTTGAAGTTCCATGGGGACTCGTGGAATGGAACAATCTTGGCGGCCCCTTACCAGGATCTAACTAATGCAAATTAGCCTACTGGTCATGGACGAAATCCCGCACCAGTTGATGTAGTACCAGTAGTACCGCACAAGGCGGTGGCGGAAGTTTCAAGACATGGCAAACTATAGGATGGGTTTGTGGTTGCGAGTCCTGACTGACAGAGCGACCCACTTGGTCTGTCTGACCGAATGTCCATCTGACTGTCTGTCTGACTGACTGTCTGCCTGACTATCTATCTATCTGTCTGTCTGACAAGTCTACCTCTCTGTCTGTCTGTCTTTGTATCTGTCTGCCTGACAATCCATCTATCCATCCAGCTGTCTCTTTGTCTATCGACTGTCTATCTACTATCTATCTTTCTTTCTTTCTGTCTCTCTCACTGTCTGACAGATTGACTGTCCATCTATCTATCTATCTGTCTGTCTGACTGACTGGCTGACTGATCGTCTATCTATCTATCTATCTAGCTATCTTTCTGTTTCTCTGGATGACTGACTGACTGACTGACTGACTGACTGACTATCTACCTATCTGTCTTTCTGTCTATCTATCTATCTCTGTGGCTCGCTGACTGACTGACTGACTGACTGGCTGACTGACTGACTGACTGACTGACCGACTTACTGACTCACTAACAGACTGACTAACTATCTATCTTTCTATCTATCTATCTA